TTGAACCTTATGGGGAAATTTCCTTCGGGTTGCGACCAATTCGGGTTGCAACCAGAGTCACAGAACGAATTACGTTCGTAAACCGAGGTTCCACTGTATTATGAGTTAATGGGTTGGTTCCAGATTGAGTTATCCTTAGAACAAACTGAAGGAAATAAAAAATCATGACTAAATTTAGTCCCCTTGATTTCAGTTGGTCCCCTGGAAATACTAAATTTAGAACTGAACCATTTAGGCTGCATTTCCTCATGTATCTGCATAAGGCAATGCCACATAAATATTTCTATTTATACTTCATCTATGATTTGCATAACAAACAAAATCAACACCAAAGGTTTTGTTTAGTTGCAAATATCAGATTAACATATATTAATGGATGTGCTAAAGGATACTTTGCAGGACAGGACTAGTACGCATGTAGGTGTTATTAATGCAGGGACTTTTCTTGTCACTACAGGTAGTCCTCGCTTACTGATCAGAATTGGGACTGACAACTCCGTCAATAAGTGTTGTGGTCGCTAAGTGAAAAATCACATGACTGCGACAGTCTTACAATGTTACTTCCACTACCATCATTAAGTAAATCATCATGGCCATTAAGTGAGATATAACATGACCACAACTTGCAATTTCATTTCTGTGTTTTCCGTTAATTCTGCTTATTGGAAGCCGATTATGAAGCTTGCAAATGGCAATCACGTGACTGTGAGACACTGCAACAGTAGTAAATGAGAGGATTGGTCACAAAGCTGGTTTTGTCCAACTGTCGTAACTTCAAACAGTCACTAAACAAGGCAGTCAGTAAGCAAGGATTACCTATACACTCTTACAGATTACCAAATATGGATTATCAATGGCACTGTATCATACCAAAATACCACAAAAGCCTCTTCCTTGGAATAACAGAAGCTTGGTTCCAAATTGCATGACTCCATTTGGAAAACAAAGGGAATGGCCCATACATTGTCCCAGGCATGAGAAACCACACTTCATTTCTCAGGGACATTATTTTACCAATTAGAGAGAAGAAAAAAAACCCCACTATCAAGAACCACAAGATCTTCCATACCAAAGCATGTTACCATATGCAAGTCTTTTGCAGAAGCTAGAATTTTTCAACAATGGAATGTACAACAAAGGTTTTTCCTGCTTAAATAAAATTGTCCAAGGCTCTGGGGACATTTTTGCAGATCTTGCCCATTCAGAGTTTAGGTAGGTTTATGCACAATCTTTATTAGGCAATCGTGAAAGCAAATCTACTGCGAGCAAAGGCAGCTGTTTAAATAAACCAAATAAGAACTTTCAGGCACGGATGCTCTTCTTGAGTCCAAAAATGAACCCTCTGATTAGCTTGACACACAAAACAATTACGTCCTGCCTGTGTTGAACAGAAAGTTAAAGCCGTTAAGCAATGTTGCCATTTGTTTGTTTGTTTGGTTTGATTTTTTTAATTCTTAAAGGGTTTAACCTCTGGTCAAATTTCTGTCCCAAAGCCTAACAAGAAATCATAACCATAGAAGTGGAATGAGAGGGGTAGCCCAGACCTTTTTTAAAAAGACCAACAGATACAGACACAGAACTTTTCAGAAAGAAACTCCCAAGACACAGAGACAAAGAGGGGTTCTTGTCAACGTTCCCCTCCTTTATTCTAGTTGCCACTATAACACACCCAGACATTGCTGAACCTTAACCACCCATTAAACTTGTCAAACATGATCTCTTTATAATACCCAAATAACATCTCAACCCAAAGGAGTGTTATAAAGAGGCTGGAAATGGAGTGAACAAAAACCAAAAATCCAATACGGGAAAACAACAGAAAAAAATCATTTGCACACATTTAAACCAGACATAGAATGCATGCAAACTTCTAGAAAAAGAGAGATTACAGCTGCTCTGTCTACAAATATCACTGTTCGGGTTAAAGCCTCGCCCCATACACCAAACCACAGGAAGAAAAAAAGTTGGAAATGGTTTAAGGGTGGGAAAATGAATGGCTAAAGGAAAGTGGAAGAAGGCAAGGAATAGTTGGGGAACCAAATGAGTTCTTTCTTGAATGTATTGGGATGTGGCTGTTCCTAGGTCCTACCCCATGGATTCCCTGGCTGGTCCTCCAACAGCTACCCAGAAATCAGCTCAGATTGACCAAACAGTATTAAGGTACAAGGACCAAAGACACAATGCAAGCATGCGGAAAGAAAGGAAGAACAAAAGAGCCCCAAAGCTCTTGGGCAGTGCTGGGAGGAGGGATATATAGTTACAGAAGGCATGACAGGATGGATGGAACTGGAAGGCCTCTACTGCATTAGGACATGACCATAAAGTGAGAGCTCTCTCCCATTAAGAAAACTCCTTGCAGTCCAGGACTCATTGGGGAAATGTCTTTTGAAGTTCTAACTTGGAATCAGGCAGTAATGGCAAAGAGTAGTTTTGTTGCAATGTGGCCAAGAACATCGGAAATAAACAAGGACCTCTGAGGCCTTTCGCATTCCAAGACCTTGCCCTAGCGGTCCAAAGAAATCTGCTAGGCAGTCTAAGCTGCTCTTGTAGAACCCATTGGCTATGTGAACTCACACGTCTAGAATTGGTGTATCCTGGAACAAATACATAGTACTCCTGACACCTTACCATGAATTCCTCCTAAACATCCTCCTTCAAGCATGCTCCACTTGTTCTCTGAATTTCAATGAAGGATGCAATCTGTTTTATCATTGAAGGGAAATAACTTTTCCATGCTCCTGAGATCCATTAACCACCTCTTAGCTCTGCAAAACTCTGGTTTTGGGACTGGGTTTTCCAATTATATCAGTAAAATGAATTCAATTGTCTCTTTAATGTGTGGAATCTAGATTATTTTGGCCTTACTTTTGTTTAGGGTGGCAAATTATTGTTTGAAACCATGGCATGTTCTTGGTTTACTGGCAACTGTAGCAAATGTGGGCCCATATTTTGTGTGGTTTCCTGGCTTACTCTGAGTTTGGTTTAGTGTCTTGCACAACCCAAGTCTTTCATTGATCACAGAGGTGCAAGGAAACAGATCTTAAACAAAAAAGGAAGGAAAACAATCCAGGAACTGCCCCAAAGGCATGGTTATTGTGTTTATCTGCAAGATTGTTTCTTCAATGAACCACAGTTAAACCAGGAACTTTTTTCAGTCATGGATACCTTTTTTTAAACTGGACTCTTAGGGCCCCAGAATGCATTTTGCATGGGATGGTGATGGCACTGGGGAAGAGAGCGGGTGCATATCCATGTGCACACATGCATGCATTTTGGGGGGAAGGGCGTTGTAAAGCAAACCATTCTGCATTTTTTAGAGGCAAAAGGGAAGGAAAACAATGCAACCCCACATCAACAGTTTGGTGTAGGGATGCTGTAGGGGCCACATGAAGACCATAGGTTCCATATCTCTAGGCAAAACAAACCAGCTTATCATGAGGTATGAAGTCAGCACATCTGTGTCTTCTTCAAAGTCTACAATCATGTTGTGCTAAGGTCCTGCTTGTGAGCTTCCAAATGACCTCTATGGGAACAGAATATTGGGCTTAATAGGTTTTTTGGTCTGATCCAGCAGGATTTACTTATACTAATAATCTCTGGAGGGAACTAAAAGAAGGACAGTTTCACCCACTATTTGGAATGCTAGGTCATCAAGTACATCAGGCAGTAGATCTCCCTTATTTGCCCAAGCCAGGCTAGATCACAGCAGAAATTACAACACAGCTGCTGTTACATTAAGCTGATTTCTGATTAGTCTGTCAGAGGGATGACCTAATTAATCCAAGATCAAGAAACAAATTGCACAATTATCTAAGGACCCTGGAACAAGATTTTCAGGAAATTTAGTCTGAACAATTCAGAAGTGATCCAACTTCTTTTTACGGAAGGAAAAAAAAACATGCAAAGATACAAAGACGGACAGACGGACAGAGCAGTGGGGAAGAAAACTCACCTTGAGGTCTCTGTGGACGACCCCCATTTGGTGGCAATGGAGAACAGCCTCCAGGATCTGCTGGATGCAATGACTGCATGCAAACACCAGGGGGCGTGTTAGTTCACGGTGAGTGGTAACAACTGCACAGGCTGGTGGGGTGGGGGGGATAATGCAAGGAAAATAAGGAAAGGGAAAACGGAAGAGGAAAAAAAGGAAAAGGAGGAAAGGGGGGAATGGGAAATAAAGGAATCTGACTTCCTCTCTGCAAGATGAGAAACCCAAGTTACAGATACACACTGTGGGAAAGTGAGAATAAGGCTGAAGAAGAAGGGGGGAGTTGCCTCCCCCAAGAGAGGGAAAGGACCAAGAACCAAGACTGACTGAAATCCTACCAGCCAAGAGACAGAGCATACAGCAGGTGAATGCCTGATGCTGCACTCAAGAAAGGCAGAAGAACAGAGTCACTAATGAGGTCATGGGAGAACTGGCACCAATCCCAGCTCTGTAGCCACCATCTTTTACCTTGACCTGGATGTAAAGACCTCATAAGCAACGAATCAGGGTTAGGGTGCATCCAGCATCTCTCAGCATGAACCAGGCACCCAAAAGTCCATCTGCACTAGCATCTGCCCTGGACCCTCTCCATGTGGCAGCTGCCGTCTGCCCCCCTCCCATAATACCTTCCCTGTGGGTTTCGGACAGATCCTGGTGGGAAATTAACATGGATATTGCCTCCTATTGCCGGGGATGTTAGTGGTCAAAGCCCACAGAGGAGTCTTCACTATGGCCCTCTCATACCTAAAGCCAACTTGATAACAAATCGCTTGAGGTCCAGATAAAGTTGATCAGTGTTTTAAAATTAGCTCTTGTGAGACAATAACCAGTTATCTACCCAAGAAATGCTATTCATGCAGGGAAGGAAGGAAACAAATGCTAGCTTTATCTCTAATGTTCAACGTGCACAATGGTCCCTCAAAAGAAACCAAGAAGAAATACTCAGAGCCACCTCTGCGAAACGGAAGCATCTATTCAGAGACGCACAGCCTTTTTCAGGTTAAGAGCTACACTGGGCTTTTAAATGGCTTGCCAAAAAGTAAGGTGAAATCAGGATAAAGAAGTGCTCAATACCAGGAAAAAAACTAACTTTTTTTGATCTGATTTTACTTACTTTTAATTAAATATTCTTGTCATGACCACTCCCTAAGTATTTAATCATTTCCCTGTTCTGTCACATTAAAAGTTACCATTGGCAGCAAAATTTGGACACGTTCCGGGGCTGCACCCATGCCTGGAGGTACACAGTTCCTTGGGGCTTCGGACTGCACTTCCAATCTAGTTGCTTCTTAATTTCACCATTTATTACTGCCCATCTCAACAAGATCTCAGGAGCTGTGATACTCTGTAAGAGGGGATGCTGTGGGGGGTTCTCGCTCTTGAGAGAACAGCCAGAACGGCTGTCAATATACAGGGTTGATTTCATAAACCTGAACAGCTAGAAACAGCAGCAAGATTCAACAAGAATCTGAATGCTTGCTGAAGTCTGTTCTCTACCCAGACCTTGTGTTTCTCATTTTCCTTGCTGGATGGACACAATCGAGCATTCAATCAGAGTGTGATACCCAGCCACCCGGATAAAAGATATGGGAAAAGCTTGTAACAGTAACTTGAAAAGTAACTATGAAATAGAAACCACTCTACAACTACCTCACTGAGCCATCCTGAGGAAGATATTGAAACCACTTGGATTTAGGGGAAGTTATTGGGGTCATTCCTATGCAAGGTGAGATTTCTTATTTTTGCTCTTCACCTCTACCCCTTACAATCGCTTCTGTACAGTTCTAGGAGATATTTTCAGGAGAACAATAGTTAGGAGTCCATTTTGGAAAACTGGGTGCACACAAAAAAAAACTGTTTCTTCTGCCACTGAGCCATCACTAGATAGACTGTCAGTCGATTATATATCCAAATGGCATTTGGAAATGGGACCAGACATCTGCAGAAGACTTGGCTTAAGGGGGATGAAATTTTCAGTTACCTGAAGCCAGATCTGCCCAACCTACAACTTCCCAAAAATATACTGATGGCATTTAGTGAAAATCAGCCCATTACAGTGACAATTTTCTAATTATTTTCTGCTACCACTCCTTGTAATAAATAGACATATTAAGCTTCCAATGGGTTTAATACACCAATGTTCATTCTTGAAATAATGACACCCCTTAGATTAGCAATTGAAAAGAGGCGATTTTTGGACTCTACCCCTTTTGGTGATGTCACCAGATGATTGCTCTGCTCCTTGTAAAAAGGTGAAGGGAAAAAAAGGGGTGTATCCTGATTGCCAATGGGTTACCTACTCCTGCTCGGACCATACGGGGTGCTTTAAAACAAGTCTGAAGAAATCTAACTAGTCTATTCCTAGTCATCTCAAATGTGATACAACAATATTACTAGCTTTCCCAGACTGAGAAAGGATTGTGATCACCAGGAGTCAACACTGACTCAAAAGGCACCAGCCCTCTCTCCTCCCCTTTTCCATAGAGTACGCAATAGCAAATCTGGGTTTCCTGGTGCCAAATACAGCTTGGACAAGCATTGCAGCCAGTTCTGACTTTCTTGGGTATGTATCAACATGACACACAGAGTCACTCCATAAATATGCTGCAACTTTAGTGTAAATATATTGAGTGCAATGTATCATAGTGTGAATATATTTATTAAATATAAATATATACTCCACTTAAAAGGAAACTGCTCTTACTTGGGGTAATTTATCTGCAAAGTAGCTGTTAACAAGAAGTAGTAATTCCTTTGTAGGCACTACTGATGTATTTATCCCTAAGGATAAATGTCTATGCTGATCTAAGTATAGAGTATTCAAATCCTGCATCGGCTGAACTCTAGTCTGTTGATCTTCAAAACAGTGGACAGCTCATTTTTCTCCACAGAATTCTGCCCTAGGAAGGGAATCATTGTCTAAAAGACCCACAAGATCACTCAAGGAATACAATGGCTACTCCCCTCATAGACCTTATGGTTTCCTTTGTGAAGAGGGATATATTCTTTCAAACCAGTGTTTCTCAACCTTAGCAACTTTCAGATGTGTGGACTTGAAGCCCACACATCTTACTGTTGCCAAAGTTGAGAAACACTGATTTAAACCACTGTCTGGTGCAAACAAACGAACAAATAAAAAGGGAGATCACAGGGCATTCCTTAGGAAACACAAATTCTAACTGACTTTTTATCTGCCTTTGGGAAAGTTACTCTAGTCATGCCTTGGAATGTCCTTCTTTTCTCTGTACAAATAGAAAGAGTAAACTGGCTCTCCATTCTCTACTGAGCTGGAGACACCAACCCACTGGTTCATCATTTTTGGCACTACGTGCCAGTTTTAAAGACAGAAATCAACAGAGCCCTAAAACTTGTCATTTTGGTAAAAGAAACATGCAGCTGAGAAAGCACTCAGCCCAATAACATTGGACTCATCTGGTAGTTGTTGTGACTCTTCCATTAAAATATTTGTTTATTTTGAGACATTTAACAGGTGAGTTCAGAAGTTATCAGCCTTAAATCTCCTCCTAGGGTTAGCCTATTCCCATTTTGTCTTCCTGGAATCACTGCAAAGAGTTTGTAATTGTGATTTTTTAAAAAAACTTTATTAACCGTATTTGTCCTATCATCCACATCCAACCAGCTTTTCATATGGCTCATTAAAACAAATCAGTTATAAAACTACAGCTTAGGGTTTGAATATCACCAGGACCCAATTTTCTGCATCAATAAATCTTCCAAATTATATGCTTGAGAACCCATCATTAGTAAGGTATGGACAAGCCTTCATTATCCCTGTATTTCTTTTAATTTACAATTATATTTACATCCCTATCTTTCCTCTGGGAACTCAGGTTATGGGTGTGTTTCCTCTCATTTTATCCTCAGTACAATCCTGTGTGGGAAACTGGACTGAGAAAAGAGTTGGCCAAAAGTGACCCCATGGGCTCCATTATTAAGTGGAGAGTTGAAACTGGGTCCCTGACCAACTTCCACCAACCAGCAAGATCATTCCTGGTTTGGATTAATGGGAGTTACAAGTCCAGTGCTTTTGAAAAGCACTTGTTTGGATACAGTTGGAGTGGGGGATTAATCTGATATGCTCCCTAGGGCTGCTTGGGGGCATTGCATCTCCAGTTTTCCAGCTGCGTACCTCTTCTCTTCTGTCTTCTTCTGACTCCTTTCTCTGCTGCCTTGAATAGCTACTGAAGAAATGCTGCCTGAGTTCAGAGTGATGTACAAGCCATGTTCAAGTAAACCAGCTGGTGGGAGTTCCCTGCCAGCTTTTCGCAGAGCAAATCAGAGGGTTCTGTCCTTTCTCATTAGTGCTTTTAAGATATCATGGTACAACTATTCTCGACACCAGGCTGCTGTCCTAGTTGCTACACTGATGCATGTGCTAGCCATAACCAAACACATGCTCATCCTATTGGTGAAAGCGCTCCCATTTCTATTTCCCCCCAAAATGAAATTGGGGATTGACCAGTGCAGAGATGTAAAAGTGAGTGCAGGTAACCTCCTTTAGGGGCATGAACAGAGACTTTTTTAGAAGGCCTGAAGACAAACTGTATTGTCATTGAATACTCCTCCCATACACACTTTTTCTAGCTGTATCCTAGATCAATACATTTCATTTTCCGTCATATTTTTTCCATTAAAATTAATAGCCTATTGGGAAAGAGGGTGGGAAACCTGAAATAACTTTATTTTAACTCATTAGTTTTGCTGCTTTGAATGAACACTATTGATCCATCTGATCATTTCAAATACTAAATTATATTTTGGATGGGGCCCAGGACAATCAGCCTATTGCCTGATGTAATGGTATGTGAGAATGACCTTGGGAGACAGGAGGAAGAGCCACAGCCAAGGGAACGGACAGATAAGAGACAGCTGAGCCCGCAGCAGGAATGTCGGTATGGCAAATGTCTCAGAAGGGACCCTCCCTAGTTTCTTGGGCTGTAAAGGGGATGGGGGACAAATGTACTTTCAGACTTGCAAGATTCTGTTAATGTAACCTTGCAATAAAGTAGAATTAGT